TTAAATTTAATAAATTCTGTTTTCATGGATGCTTGGATATTAAACTTAATTGTTACATCCGGTAAAGCAGTAACGCTGATCATTTTATTAAAGATGAAAGAATTTAGACAGTTTTTAACTCTCAGTGATGCCGCAGTGTTCGTTTGACTTTGGGACAGAAGAAGAGAGGGAGTTTAGGACCCAGATTACTCCGCCAGGCTCCTGACTACAGTAGCCGTGAGGCTCCAACAATCTATCAAGCTGTGCGGCTTCATAGCTCACAAAAGTCCTACTAAAACATTGTTGACAGATTTTGAACGCCGTGTACCACATAAAAGGTCAGTAAGCACAACCAGAATTCATACATCAGGCGCACTGGATTATAATGCCCACTGTCGATTTTTGAGAAAATTAAAGGATTTTAAATGCATCTTATAATGCAGAAAATACAGTAACCAGACTCTACACAAAAGAGTCCAGAGATCACGAGATTCAAACCCAGAACCTTCTTGCTAAAAGTCAGCGGTGCTAACCACTGCAGCGACTTGCTCTCCCACTTTTTCCAAGTTTTGTGACTTTGATCTCATGATTTGTTTCTTAGAGAGCTGTAGCTTTGATCATGCCATCAGAACATGGAAACTGTATGTATAGAATCACCGGTTAGATTTTGCCTTGACCTCCAAATCTAATCACATCTTATTTGTTGTTTTGTTTTTTTGCTTTGTCAGGTCGGTAAACTACTGATGGAGAATGCTCAGCTGGCTTTAGAGTCTGACAGCATGAAGTCCAGAGCGGCTGCCATCCAGGCCAGGTCAGCTGTATTTGGCTTTAGTTTTCCTGGAAGCTCCAGTGCTCCTCTTCCTCAATCAATACAATTTTCTGATTATTAATTAGCATTAGGTAGGATTTCATATTGCATAAACCTATTGCATCTATTTTATGTCCAAAGTAATCAGCCACAGTGGGCAAAAGACATGTTTTTGTTTGTGTGCAACTGGTAGTTTTTGCCAGATGACAGGAGCTAATATGGGATAATCATCACCAGCCAATAAAGATGTTTCAGTGTTTGAGGCAAAGCTGTTGAGTTCAGAATAAAAGACTTCCTGTTTTCATCCTGCTGCAATGCTTTTCCAGCTCCCCTTTTATCGCACTCAGGCCAGTTCCCGCTCCTGTGAGCCAACCTGCATACAAATCCAGGCCTGACTTTGTGCCGCGTCGGCACTTTCACTTATGTATTGATGCAGAGTGACAGAGGCCTCCCCCCTCCTCACCACCACCACAATCAGCACCACCTCTACCTCCCTCACACACCTCCCGCCTGCTGTCGGATGTTAACCCCTAAAGGACAGCGGCTGAAATACCTGCGTATCTTCCTTTTATGCCTCCACCTGACGAGTTTCCTGACCATCTGTCTGTTTATGATGCACTAGGATGACTCCAAGGTCTTTTTATGTCCTTTCCTCTTTTAGTATAATTTCTGCAGCGCAATGACTCACAGTCATGTGGTGAAATAAAAACTTCCAGCTGATACCAGAGACTCCAGCCCCTGGTTAGACACTCACTAGCTATTCTTAGAATTGCTGTTTGCATTAGTCAATACTTGACCTTCGAGTGACTGGGTGGGGTTAGCCGTATGTTTGTATGTGCTCTGATATTTTTAATAATGAAAATGGTTCCTACAGTGAATTAAACTCCTGCTCTTTGTGGTTTATTCCAGGAGCTGGATCTTTGATGTGGCTAGGGTAATGAAAAGTTTTGTGGTCTGATTTCATTTGTAATTTTCCACTTTTAACCACTACATTGTGATGTAGTGCAGTGAACCATTGCTATAAGACATAGAGCAAGATTCAGAGATATCTTGAAGTATGTGGTTTGATAACAGAGCAGACAGGCAAACTTAATGCTTTCTCTGTTTTCTTTGTATTATTGCAGGGTCTTTACCTTGAAATATAAAACACCTTGAGGCAACTGTTGTTGTGATTTAGCGCTATATAAATAAAAGTAAATTGATTTGAGTTGAAAGCTGTAGATCTTTCGGTCTTTAAAGCTTGAAGGAAGCAACTGCACTTCTTTAAGTTTGTCATGGCACTGAGTCTGTGACCCAGTGTTTTGTGTTTGATTAAGTTATATTCCTTGATTATTTGTTATTCATGGCTGGGTTTCTGTTTATACTATATTTGTTGTTCTATCTCCTAGTTTCGCTCACTGTGTTCCACGGTGCATCATGTCAGTCATGTCTCAGTGTCTAGTCCGTGTCTCTGAGGCTGTATCCCAATTCAGGGTCTGCAGCCTTAAAGTACGCAGCCTTGACGGTCCTCAAGGGCCGCGTACTTAAAGACTGCTAAGGCAGGATGTGCGAGGCTTGTGAAATGGAACGGTCTAGCCTCCGTTGCGCTGCCCAGGTTGCCTAGCAACCATGATACTAACAGCTGGAAACGTTTCATACAGCTTTGTTTGACAGAAATGAAGGAGAAAATCTTTTGTTCA